TTTCCGAAAGGACAATAGGTTTGTTCGTGCTGTTTGCATTTTTTACCTAAAACCCGTTGTACCCTGGACCACTCTTTAGAAAGAAGAGCTCTTATTGAATTTCGCTCATCGCGTCCGGTGTGCATTAAATGGTATAAAAAACTGAAAATGTCAAAAGTGCAAACAACGTAGACAAATCTAATGAAAGAGCGGTATAGACGTGCGCGGGGACGTGCAGCAAAGAGATTGCTTTTTGCTTCATGTCGTTACGTCCACTAATTCACGAGTTATAGATGTTTTAAGCCGCGGCATCGACATCAGGTATTGGCACGGGTTCCGCGCCATTGGTACGCTCGCACGTACTCTCTCTCCGGCACGCTATGTTCAGATTTGTCTCTTTAACTGAGGTGAATGACCGGCGTGATCGGACGACCGCGTGGCCAAAGCGATGACGCTTGTCTGTCACTCGAGCTCGGGATAGCAAGTGATTTTCTTCTTCCACTTACGAACTCAGACCGCTCTGTCTATTCGTGTGACGACATGGACATAATCTGCGGATGAGGATAGCGAGCCGCGACTGTTGTGTGCCATCACGCGAAATATCGTTTCAACGTATGTGAAACGCGGCTATCATTTTCATTCATGTTCTGACCTAACCTACAGCGCGCGAAAGAGGCAGCGCCGGCTGATCGAGCGCGCGTATCGATACAAATGTCAATAACTCTACTTGTAGACATCGTAGCGACTTGAAACAAACACTGTTGAAAGAGGAAAATATCGCGCTTTCGACTGACGTGAAATCGTCCTGTGGATCAAATAGCCTAATCGTGTAAGTGCGAAAGACATCGGTTTTTATGTTTGTGTGAATATTAATCTATGTTGAATTTATAATATCATAGATCTCGTTGTGCCAACGAGATTCAGGTAGTAAGCTATGAAACAACTTATTACGTGATTGCTCCAACCACGGAGCAGTTCAGTTACTGGCGTTGCAGCAGCGATATTTGATTGCTCCAATCCATGATGAATGTCACCTCAATCGATTTCTAGTTGCCACAACGAGATCACGCGCAACTTTGATACATCGATGTACCAAATGATGATAATTGATGTACCAAAGTAACCGAATCGTATCAATACACATTATCATCACACAAAGATAATTAGGATAATACACACTATGCTGCTCACAGAAATACTACAATTAAAATTTTTATAAAAAAAATAAAAAACTAAATATTCTATTATGTGCTCTATATCTTATTTAACGTATACATATATACATACATATATATATATATATATATATATATATATATATATATATATATATATACGCGTCAGATATACGCCTCTCGCGGTTCGCTCCGGTTGATATCATTAAGAACAACTTATTCAGTCTTTCATTAGTTATCGATGGTTTAATACATTGTTTGATCTCATCCATCGAATCTATCGTTCTTGTGCTTTTTTGCATTCGCTCGATCGTCCTTTTTTTAAAGGGGACGACGAGAAGACGTGCGTTCTTGTCTCGTTAAACTTTATTAGTTTATAATTCTTTATTAAGGGACTGATGTGGATACGTGTCGCCGTTTACGACGGATTACTGCCACATGCGTATATTAGATTTAATTAGAATCACCGCGTCGTAAAGGCGAGACCGCGAGCCTTTGATGCGTCTCCACCTGCGTGACGCGCATAACGTCGCGCTTTTTATTGCCCGCTCGCAGAAATGTACTCGTCGCTGCTGTCGTCGTCGTCAACATCGCCGCTCATCCCGCGGCTCATGAATAACAAACGCACGTACATCCTGCTGTTTCCAGAAAGCAGAATTTCGCCATGGGCGTGTCTCGCGTGCCGAGTTTCTGCGCCCTCGGCATCGGCCGATTTCGGTGTTTGTCACAAGCAGCTCGTATACCGTCTTGACGTGTTTCGTTTCGTCGTTTGCAACGCGATACGTTAAACGTTAACTTCAGAAGCACTCGCCGCCGATGTTTCCACCGAGAATAAAACCACGAGATACTCTCGAACACGCGACCGAAGATCGTGCTCGAAAACGTGCTCGGGGTGCAAAGAATGCGATGAGAAACGATGAAATGTAAAAGAAAATAAACGCGGCTGTTATTTTTCGGGCAATGAAAGCCCCAATTGAAATCGTGCCGGGCCTTGTCAATTTTTCAGCAGACGTGTAATCTCGTCCCTCAAAAGACAGGAGCGCCGAATCATGACACCGAAGTAACGGCTAGCCGTGACTTAACTCGCACAATGTAAGTCTAGTGTTACAACGCCTTTTTATAACGATGAACCGTTAAAAACCGTTCCATTCGTCGAACGCTCGCGTTGGACGTTTGCGCAATTTTACAGTGATTCGAATGGCGCCGCTAAAAGCACCGACGAAATCCGTTATAAATTATTGCGCAGGCAGCGCAACGCGCGCGCGCTCTCTTTCTCTCTTCCTCGCTCGCTCGGATGTGTTAGGTGTAATTTGTTAATCGCGCCGCAGCGTTACAGTTACACTCACCGCCGGTGTAACGTCGGCCGGTCGAAGTTGCGCTATTAGCGTTGTATCGTGTTTCACGACACGAACCATTTGTTTGATCCTATGACGGGGGTATATACGGCGCGGACAGAGGCGAGCTTTTCATTGTCGACGTGTGCACGAGCATTCCCACGTTTCGTCAAGAGGCTGGCCGGGAAACAATCGCGCTGGCGAACCGCGACCGCCGCCACCGAGGCCGCTGTAAATCTGATCTTCCGCACGATTGTTTCGGAAATCCGATATCGACACGACCGCGCGATCGATCACGGCCACTACAAAATGATCCTCCCTTTAATACAGTTAGGAGTCATCCTCCCTGTCTCTCGCCATTGTACGTTTCGCCGCTGCCCGCGAATATTTAGTTACTGCTCGTTGTGGTTGTATGGGAACACATTGTTCGATGCTCTTGTCTTGTTTCCAGAGACGAACCGGGGGAGCCGAATTGGAGGCTATGCAGTAAGCAAATCTAATGATTGCACTTGTATACTGCACACGTTTCTCACTGTTGTTTTATTCTCCTTCGCAATTTGCTTGCGAAAATTTTTAACGCGACTCCACTTCTCGTCCTTGTATTTCAGTCAACTTTTCGCAGCACAATTCACGTAGATTTTTTCAGGCAACCTCTCGAAATTTACATTTGCGCTCTCTTTGCGAGTTTATGAATTTATCAGTTTTCTCTTTATAAATTTTCAGTTCACTCAATTCACAAAGTTCTTTTTATAAATTTTTTCACGGAGAAAATATCGTATAGCGAGGATTGCGTTAAAATTACATCTCCCTTTACAATGTTTTTTTTATAAAGCTGAGCTTTACTGGAAATGTAATATACAAATTATTGTAGAAATAGTGAATTTAACAACCTATCTGATATATGATATAAAAAACGTTCAATTACAATTATTTTATAATAAGAAGTCAAGTGTGCAATGAATTCTTAAGCAAATATATCGCAATTTCAGACATAAAACAATTGATCCAAGATTGCAAATACTTTATTGTAATTATTGATGCAACATTTCTGCCTACGACGATCGTTTATATTCTATTATATATCAAATATTGCAATATCTACTGAATGTGTGCATACACGAACGTGTCTCTCGACGCGCATGTGTCTGGCGACATGTTTCCTGAACCTAACGTTGCGTAACGTTGTGTGTCTTCATTTTGACGGACAGGGACAGCTTCCGTGTACGGACGTCTCATCGTTTTCGATACCGGCGGTCGATTCGCTCGTCCGATTGGATTGCAAACTATGAGAATCGGCTCCTCGGCGCGTGATTGACTATTAATTCCGTCGGTCATTAGACACGATCGGAGGTGTGTCGCGGGGAAATTAGATAGCGCGGGATATACAAGCGCGACCGACAGGCTCAGGCCGGTCGAATCTCTCGTGGGAACTGGTCGTGATTAGTCCACGTCACTGCCGACGCTAGTTATGCTAATTGCGCTTAAGCACTTTGGCCTGCTATCAGCGTCGACTATTGAAACCGCCGCCGTGAATAAGTCACGTACCGAGACCAGACCAGACCACCCGTCCGTCGATTTCGACTGTCGATATCATCATCGCGTGTCGCTTTCGAGAGAGAAAAAAAGAAAATCTCCCATCGGCCCCGACGATCTCGGGGTATGACAATCGCGACGCACGCTCGCGTGGGTGAAATTATACTCGCGCCACGCTCCTAAGTCTCGTTAAATCGAGTCCCACAGCTGGGCAAAGCGATATCCGCGAAATCACCACGTTGTAACGGCGTATTATACTAATATTCATTTACGCCAACGTCGCGCAATGCCTCGAAATACACGTGAATTAACTCAAAATGGTTTAATATCAAGCTTGGGGATTGCCTCGTTATTTTTTTCGATTCCCGAGAAGTGAAAAGAGAGAGAGAGGGGGGGGGGAGGGAAGAGTGCCTACGCAAAGGCAAGTCGGATCTTGGTGGATCCTAAGTACACGATTACGTGAAAACGCGCATCTTATGTT